CCTATAAATCTGCAAGACAGCAGTTAGAAGAATGTCATCAAATTTACAAGCTGAGAGAAATAATATGAAATTGCTGATCAAAAATATGTATTGAGCAGAAAAGAAATAGGAAAGATAGCCTTTTTAGTAATAACTACACTTGAAAGCAATTGCTTGTATATTTATTCCCAAATCTAATTAGTACAAAATTGCAAGCTCCCATGAGTATTTTTGCTGCTTTAGTAATCTGGCAGGAGTGGGGAATAGAAGCTAATGTCTTTATTCCTTCCAGCCTAGTAATACTAGCAGATTAACTTTTTTTTGCTGAGATAAGCTGTCATAAGAAGCAGTGGAGGAATTTTGCCTTGTTTGTTGAGCTATGGACAGTGCTTTTTGAACTGCTGAGAAAACCAGTTGAGTAGTTTTTTTAATACATACTTCATATTCCTTAGCTGAATGGCTTCAGCTACTCCCAGTGGCAGAATAATAATATGTCTAGAGTTAGAAGTTACTGCCTGGGGTTGCATTCACAGAAGGTTAGGAGGTTGTTCAGTGTATTTGCTTTTGGTTTTCTCCCACTAAATTCAGTATAGCTGATATCATCTGCCATCTTTTCTTTCTTTGGTTTGCTGAACTTCTTGCTCTATGAAGGTTATTTTTTGTGTCACCCAACTGAAAAATGCTTCTGATGCAGTCTTAGTTTAACAAATTGCATTGGTAGTTGTTTAAAAACTTGCTTCTCCCACTTCTGCCAGCAGACTTCAGTGGCACAGAGGGGAATATGCAGCTGAAGTGAGTAGAGATTAGATTTCCATATGAAATGCAGGCACCATTTCAGTAACATATTTCAGAGAAACAGATGGTGCTTCAGATGTGTTGTATCTTGGTTGGATCAGCTGAATTTAGGGTATTAGGAATATAAAAGAAATTAGTTGAATTGTGAGTAGCAAACCTATTCTTGCTTCTGTGTTACCAAAATGTAACCCAAGGTCAGCTATAGTCTACAGAGTTCTCTTCTATCTTGTACATTACCAGATGGGGAAAACAAGTGATTATTTGAGAAAACTGTAGTGTCAAAATGAGAAGCAGTTTCTGCTTTGAGAAAGGCATGAGCAAATACAGCTGTTTACCTTAGAAGTATGAAAGGTGACTACTACCCAACTTCTTACTTGTCATGGTCCACTTTAGCCAGAGGTTAACAATGGTGTAATTTTGCTCACAATGCATGGTTCACTCTTTCTCATGGTAGCTCCATGAAGGAGATGAACTAGTGACCCCTGAAACCTTGTCTTTGCAGGTTGTATGGTGGGATGAACTATCGGCGGCTGGGAGGAGGAGTAGGTGTTATCAAAATGACACACTGTGAATCCCATATATGGTAAGCATCAAGAGGGAGGGAGACCCCTTGGTTCTCATTCCTAGAAAAACTGAAGAGACTTGTTGACACTGGACCTCTTTGCACCTCTAGTATGCACAGTCTAGATCCAATATAACTCTTTGCCAGTGACTCTTTCTATGGAATCGTAAAAATGACTTCTGTGAGAGTGTGCCCGATGGGAGACCACGTTGTCAGACTCCAGGGAACCACTGGACAAAAGTAGAAGTGTTGCATATGTCCGTATTTTTTCTAAATAGTCTACATTTTTGAATAAACCAAACTGTAAAAGTTACTGTAGCGTAAACACTGCTGATGTAGAAACTATATGCTACACTGGGAGTCTGGCAAGGAGGTTTCCTGCCTTCCCTCCTGCTGTGTGAGCAGTGGATGTGGCAGCTGTGTGGTGCGTGAAAAGAGGAAGGCGATACAGAAAACTTTGCTTTTGCCTTATTTACAGAGAGCTTCAAAAAAGTACTTGACCTGCAAGGTGCCACCTTTGCACAGAAGCTTTTCTGTGCACAGAGTATATTTATTTTTTCATTTAGTTTGTATCATGTATTTTCTTTGTACTGCTCACAGCCATAATTCCAGCTTTTTATATACATGTGTGTGCATATATGTATGTATTTTATATATATGTATATGTATGTGTGCAATTTGAGTTTTGATAAGATGGCAGTTAGGGCAGGGCTATGTCCAGCCAGCTATTGTGGTTCCAACCCTTGTGGTATGTTTTAGGGTCTCTTAAGAGTACAGGAGAGCTGTGAGGATGGGTGCCCTGAGTATCTTTTCAGTCTTGCTGGAGGCAAGAAGTAGAACTGGAACTCTCATCTATCGACTGAATCAGTGGAGTGCCCAAAAAGGGTGAGAGTGAAAAGGATTTCAAATTAATGCCTTTTTACTGTACAGTGTATGGTACAAAAGTTCAGCTTTTGTCTCTCCTCTCCCCTGTGTAAACCTAGAAACAACTAGTTGTTGCTTACTTATAAAAATCTTTTTCTCACATTGCCTGCTAGATATCAATTCTTGTCTGAAGCTGGGATGCAGGTGTCATCTGTTAATTCTGACTAGCCTAGATCAATGCTCACCTCTTGGGTTCTTCCTAGAATGCCAGACACACATGCTGAAAAAAGTTCAGATCAGCATCTTCCCTGCCCTCCTGCCTCTTGTCTGTGTCTTTAGAATTCCTGTTGTAAAACACTGACCACGATGAGATGGTACCCTATTAGTGATTTTTTTGTTTTGTTTTTTTATTTTTATGCACTTTGCCTGTGTGTGTTTAGAGCAGGAAAAGGTATGAGACTCATTAAAGAGTCTGGAGGGGATGGACTGTTTGCTGGCACTATGAGTAACTTGTATTTCAGTGACTGTGAAGGCATCCAGGGGAAGAGGAAGGAGGAACTCTAGATTCAAAGGTTCTGGTATATTTGTACTGTAATTCCTGCACAGTATGAAAGAATGACCTTTTGCACCTGATAAAAATTTGGACCTCACTAAATCTGATTTAAAAGAGTAATAGGACTGTAAATTCTTGAGATAAAAAAGGCAGTGCTGACATCTTAAGTTCTTTATCTTCACAGTTTGATTCATGTAACTTGGATTTTAATGTGCTTGAATATAGTAAAAATTACACTACAGTAATAAATGGGCCATTTAAAACTTTTTTAAAAGTCCCTTTTCCCCTAATGGTTGGTATTCTTGTGTTTACATATGAAGATCATTTGCACCTTTACAAGGAAAACAAGTATTCTGTAAACAAATGTTTACATGTATCATTTATGCTTTTTTCTAGCATGAGTAACTTGTATAAATAGTGCTATCTTAATAAATTTCTTCTATGCTGTTCTTGGTTTGTTCCTTTGGGTGAAAGTGGACTATATTTTTGTATAGTTTGTGTGAACACAGATGCTGGTTTGGTTTTGGTGTTTTTTGTTTTTTCCAGGTACCAGTCCAAGTAAAACTGGCTTAAAACTGCTGTTTATTGCTACTCTCAATTGTTTATTAGAAGCACATTATTCAGAAACATCTTTTTCTTGAAGAAAGCAGCTGTACTACCTGTCTGAATCTAGTTCTGTCACTTTGCTGCAGTTACCAATGAGGGCTATACTCCAATTTTCTCCAAACTAGCTTTGGAGAATGTAGCTTTTCATTCCAGCACTACCTTACAGCTAGGCTGTAGTAAATACACACATACATAGCAAAGCATCAGTCTTGAAAGCTGAGTATGGCCATAGTTGATATATGTACTCCACTGGAGTTTCACATGCTATTAGACTCTGTTCTTAAGACAAAGAACTAGTTAAAAGAGGCTATATGGAATTTAGTTTTTTAGAGATTTATGCAAATTTGTTGGCAAGAGTTGAGCATTAGATTTAAAACTAAGCCATGGCTGTAACAGTCCTGTCTTCAAATCAAATACAGGTGCCAGTTATGTCAGACCTCCTACTGCTTTACCCAGTGTTCCTCTGAATCAAGATAGCAAACTTTGTCTAAGAGGTTTTGTAAAAGGAAACTAAAGCACCAGAAGTGAGAGTTTTAAATAGCTGTTGCACTGTCAAGACCTTCAGGAAATTGCTTAGCTGCTTCTGTCAGGGTAAGAGTTAGCACTTGGCAGACTGTAACCTTTACAAGCAAAAATAATCCATCTTCAACTAGTAAACAAAAACTAAAAACAAGTGCACATTTCTTTTAATCATCTATTTCCAGAATTAGCTAAAGTAGGTTAGGAACTAGGTATGCAATTATGTCACATTAGGTAGTTACATGTTTGCATGGCTGGTTCATCTTAGTGTGTGGGGAGAAGAATGAAGTATGTTTTTAGTGACAGCTGAGAAATCTTAAAATTATGTGGTTGGGCAAAGAAGGGAAACTTGTGTCCCTGTTTAGGGGGAGTGTCACAGCACAAACTCATCACACTTCAGAGATGCTGCACAAGTGTGAAGGTATACAATTCACTTGTAATAAGAAACTAGACTTTAAATTTTGCTGTTCACAGAATTATTTAATAGGCAACAATGAGTAGTTGAATCAGGTAAGCACCCTACAAGTATGTATTTAAGCAGGCATATCTGGTCTTTACTTAGCTCAAGACCAATCTCTTGGTAGAAGATGGCAAGTATTTAGTACTGTAATACAAAATTACAACACTTGAAATGTATTTACTCTACTTTTTGATTGTTTAAGCTATGGCCAGGCACTGTCCACTAACTGGACTCCTAATGGCTGTAGAAGGGAGAGATTTAGTATAAAGTTTTAGCACCCATAGCTCCAACCCCAAGAGCTCTGGGGCCTACAAGATTACGTCCAAGACAACAACCATCAGGCAAAGCACAGTAAATATCTAGTTTATCCACAGCCCTTAATTTCTGATGTATCATCTAAGAGAACCAACAGGCTCGACACAAAAGACAGTTGTCAGTCTCATGCTGTTCAACTTAGCCCAACAGGACACAGATGAATACTTTATGACCATTACCAACTGGCCTTAGCAAGCTAGAAGGGAAGTTAGAAACCTGGATTTTTCTGCCCTGGGTTGTAGAGCATGCACCCTTTCTCTGGGGTGTTTGACTACAGTTAGATTGGCCCAAAAGTAGTCCTAACTGAGCTAAGATTAAGGTCTGTATAGCTTAGGCTATCTACTTCAAGTGAAAACCGACTTGCTGTTTGAAGCAACAGAAGTACCTGTCAGCAAGTTCCATCCAAGAATTTGCAAAGTTTATCTCCTAGCCCCTGGCTGATATCTACACATAAATGAACAGAATGACTATGATAAAAACAAAGGTGCTTAAGAAGCTATTAGTAGTTTGTACTGTAGCCCTAAAAATGTCTGCTTGTCTTTACTGTGCATGATGCTGAATTACAGCTAGAGTTGAGTGCAGGAGTTAAGAGTCCAATTTTGGACTGTCAGCATGAAAGGAAAGAAGATAGGCTGCAGGAGTGAGTTTCCACATGGTTTCTCAGCATACATCTTCCAGCAGTAGCCTCTTCAGCATGATTTGCTGAAGTGACTCTCACTGTATCTGAGAGATTGCTAGTTCTGTCAGTAGCATCAGCACTTCAATTACATACTGGCTTTGTAGAAACTGAAAGAAAGGAAAAAAAGGCATGTAAAAAAAATTGCAGTTGCCAGATTTCCACACCCTTAAATGGCTGAAAACCAACTACCACATGTTCCATGTGACTAGTCAGCTTCTCTGTTGTTTGTACAGTACCTTTGTTACTCTTTTGACCCTGGATATGGAGAAGATACACATGCCTACATGCTGCTCCTTTCAGAGCCCTCTGTCTTCTGCTCCTGTCCCGTGTGAAATGTCTTGCTCCTTCTCAATTTTTTTTGGAAGCTAAGAATCCTAGCACTTCTGCTCCTTCAGCTACCTTGCTTCATTAGGAAGATCAGAAGGACATTGCCAGTTTCCTTGAACACCCCTATTTTCCCATACCAAATATATCCTCATTATGGAAGAGCCATAACTGTGTTTACACCACAGACTTCCAGAAGAGAACCCTTTTTCAGAAAACCAATTCAGTTGAATACCATTTGTGTTTACTTAACTGCAAAAGATGTTTCAGCCAGTTTTAAACTGCTGCAGATAAAAATAAGCAATGTACCACTAATATTTAGCTTTTGCAGTTCTGCTGAAGGCCAATATTGTTGAGATGCTTCCCAGCGAAGTTTATTATCTTTCATTTGATGAACTCATGCTCCAGGAAAGAGGTGCATGATGGGGGTCCCAGTTATAGCCTCTAATATTCCCTCTGTACCCAGAGCAATAAAGACAGTGCATCATAGACTAAATTTAAGCAACTGCATTTACACAAACTGTTCTTTAACTCAGATTGAAGAAACTTCAGGAAAGATTAATCCTCCCTGATTTTAAAAGACGTTATAGATACCTCTATAGGAAGACCAACGTACTTTTATGAAAAGGGTTATAAGTGGTTTTAACCAAAACATTTTGACTCTTAAAATTATGTTGTCTTTTGATTCACCCACACACCAGTTATTGTAATATAGACGGTTAATTGTATTTGTCTTTAACCTGTCTTAATCACTGTAATACTAGAAAGGTTTTTTTATTAAGTTTGGGATCTTTTTAAGCTTAAGTTTTGGGCAATGGGCAAAGAAATTTTCCTGTTCATACCACAGCTAATACACCTATTTCTGACCCAAGACTAGGGTTAGTAGCTTCTATGGCAATACAGCAGTAAAATAGGGTATTGATAGACCTAACTCCAGAAACAATTATGACTAATAAAACCTGAGGGCGTAACAATTTCTTAAAGGAAATTATGCATAAGAAACATGAAACCTTCATTTTTAAGAGTCAGGCATTTCTAGAGAGGTACAGTTTTTTATTTGTCACACATTAGTTAGGACAATGTGCTACTTTAAACCTCACCTTTATAATCCCATCACAATGTGCTGAGGCAATTGCTGTAGAAACTTTCACCAGTTTTGTAGATGACAAGTGAATCTTAAAGTGTCTGTGGAAGTGAGAGTAAAGGCAATCCATAAAGACATCCACTTCTTCTTGAGTTATCTCTCCTGGAGTTTTTTGGACTGTGTCCCACAGAGCTTTTGCATCCTCTGGATGAATGGCATATAAAATATCCAGAGACTGGGGCAGATGCGGGACAGAGAAAACAAGTTCCATGGCAGATGCAGTTTCATCCACCTTGCATCCAGTCCACATAGCTGCCATCCAACTGAGATTGAGAGGGCTGATAGCTAAACGGTGGAAGCAGCAGTCAAAAGTCTTCTGAAACCAACTTCCAACAATGGATGTGTAACTTTCTGCCCCATTAGCAAGGAACACCGGTAAACAAGTGAAGTCCTCTGGCATGTTCTTGGAAAGATCATCTCCACACACAGAGCAGAACCAGCCCGACCATACCAGTTTCTCTTCTGACTTTTTTTGGGAAGCTTGTGATCTCAAAGAAAGCTGGGATGGGCAAAACAAGCATTTGAATGCTACAGAGCAAGTTAGACTTTCTTTAGCCAATTTTTGTTTGTTTTATAATCTCAAGCATTTGGTACAACTTTTTTTTCCTCACAAACCTCACATACAACATTATTTTCTGCAAAGCTCATACAGTTATTCAGTCTGTTACACCCCTAAAAGATGTCTGCAATTCTGTTGAAAATAGCAGGAAAAGCACTTCATTACAGATGATCCTGAGATCCAAGTTTATGCTGCTTAATTCAGAAGAGCCAACCCATGATACATACTGACCATTGCCATAGTGAACTTGGCATTTCAACAGTATCTTTCACTTGAGGCAAAGCATTTCAGAAATACTAATTAGGCTTGAGCTATGGTCAGGAGGTAGAATTAAGTCCTCTTTATCCAGGAAGCAAAATAACCAGAGTTCTTGCAGTTAATTGCTCACTTAAAAAAAAAAAAAAAAAATAGATCAGCATTTCTCCTTGTAGTCTGATCTTATAAAAAAGTTTAAACTCAAAATTGCATTGCTTGTGTTCCAGTTAAAAATGGACCAGGCTCACTTATATTAAATTTCAACAAACACTACAGTAGTTACCACACACAGCTAGTGTTTAGTTGTGTGTTTTTTTTGGGGGGGTGTGTTTCTTTGGGTTTTTTTTTTTTTGTTTGTTTTTAAGAGAGCATTTTATGACAGCAAAAGCAACTTGTAAAATGCAAATCTCGATTACCAAAACTGCCAGGAAGACTCCTTACCTGCACGAGAATTGCAGCCTCGTCTTGGTCACTACCTTTCAGGTCTGGAAGGCTGGTGACAGCCACTTTTATGTCCAGCTCAACCCCTACTTCCACCGCCAGCCCCTTCTGCTTCTCGGCAGCGATAAACGCACTCAACAGTTTAGCGTAAACTTTCAGATGAGCGCTAGAGAACTTATACAGAGGGGTCACGCTGTATAAGACCCAGTGCTTGCGCAGTAGAAACGCTGTTGTCTGTGAATCTGCTTTTCTCTAAAGAAAAAAAAAATAAAAAAAGAAAAGAAACTTACAATATTAACCCCCGCAGCAACGAGGAACAGCTTCCTCAGTCTAGGCTTGCAGGGGGCCCCCCAGCCCGCACAGACCCACCGCCGCTCACAGTCTCTGTGCCCGAACAAGGGCAGGTTTCCCGCCTGGCAGCGCCGCTGGAGCGGTGCCGAGCGAGAGAAGGCAGCACTGAGACGAGTCCCACATACGCGGGGAACGGCGGAGAGGGGAGCCCGTCCGAGGGCCGAGAGAACAAG